AAAACAAGAGAGTAGCCCTTGTGGTCCAGAGAAAAAGTAGTTCTCAAAATATGGCCCGGGGACCCCTGGAAGACCTTCAGGAGGTCCACAGTGTCCAAACCATTTTCATAATAATAATATGTTATTTGCCTCTTTTACTCTCATTCTCTCCTGAGTGTACAGTAGAGTCACAGAGCCTACATATCTGTCTTATTCCAACTGATCGAATGCAGGAGCAGATATGAAAATCCCGCCAACTTCTATTAAACCAGCTTTTTAAGAAGAGTTGCAAAAATGTAAAACAGTGCCATTCTTCTAATTTTTTGTTTTAGAAAACATATTTTTCATAAAAATGTTGTAAATAATGTAAACATTAGCATGTAATGGTTTTATTATTATTTCTAAATAAATATTTTTTAAATGTCTCAGTTTTATCTCTAATAAGTAAATCTCAAGAGATACAACCACACAAACAAAAGCTCTTTGAGGTCCCGAACTATTTATTTATTTATTTATCTATTTATTGTGAGGAAGATTGTCACTGAGCTAACATCTGTGCCAACCAACTTCTGTTTTGTATGTGAGATGCCACCACAGCATGGCTTGACAAGCGGTGCTAGGTTTGCACCTGGGATCTGAACCTGTGAACCCCAGGCTGCCGAAGTGGAGCATGTGAACTTAACCACTATGCTACTGGGCCGGCCCCCCTGAACAATTTTTAAGGGTATCAAAGGTTGCTGAGACTAAAGACTTTGAGAACTGCTGGTCTAGAAGGATGGCATTGTGAAAATGAAAAAAACCTTGCACTTGGGTGAGAATGAATGGAGCCAAATGAAGATAGTTGAAGCCAGTTCAGTAGAGAAAATCTACCTATTGTACCTGCTAAACTATAAGCAACAAAAAGACCCCACATCTAGCCTATTTCTATTTTTATTCCTCACATCTAACCCACTGCCTGGCATTGAGTTGGTGCAAAATGAATATTTGTTCCATCAGTAACTATTCAACTTGAGACATACTGAGTTTGAGGTGCCCATGAGACACCTAGGTAGACAAGTAGGAAGATAGATGTATGAAGTTGGAACTCACTGTAGTAAATATATAGATTTGGAAGTCATCAGCTTGTGGGAGGTAGGTGAAACAGTGAGTAGATGAGCTCACTCAGAGAGGGAAAGTGTGAAAAGTGAGATGAAAAGAAGGTTAGGAAGACCCTGGGGAACACTGACATTTAAGAAGTGAATGGAGAAAGAGCTTGGTTCATATTTAGAGCCCAGTAACTGACGCTATATGCTAGGAAGGGCGTGTCAAAGAAGAGAGTATGTTATTGCGAAGTCAAGGTAGAAGAGAAGTTCAAGAAAGTAAGAGTAGTCCTGTGGCAGATACTCTAGGTTGGCTCACTCAACATCTTTTCCAATCCCTTTTCTCCTTGACTTCCTTCATTTTAGAGCTATCCAATCTGGTAGCCACTAGTTACACATGGCTATTTAAATTTAAATTAATTTAAAGCAAATAAAATTAAAAATTCATTTCTTCAGTCATACTAGCTACATTTCAAGTGTTCAGTTGCCACATGTGGCTGGTGGCTATCATATTATTAGAGCAAATATAGAACATTTGCATCATCACAGAATGTTTTATTGGACAGAGCTGCTATAGAGGCTAGAAACCTAAAATACTCAGTCTCCCAGGTTCTCTTAGAACTAAGGGTGGCCATGTGCACAGTACTAATATATAAGAGAAAGTCCCTGGTGAGGGTGTCTCTTATCACAGAATTTTTTTAAAGCCTTCTTGGGAGAAGACTTGATCTTCCCCTCAGTCCTGATGAGAATGCAGATGCAATGCCTGGTGGTATTGAGAAAAATAAACTTATTTGCTTAAGCTGCCATTTTTCAGATTTCTGTTACTGCTCAAAGCATTATTCATTGATACAGAATTTAGAACTTGTAGCCCTCTGCAGGGGACATCTGTAGACATTTTTGATTGTTACAACTGGAGGTAGGGTGCTACTGGCACCTAACGGGTAGATGCAAGGGATGCTGCTAAACATCCTACATGCATAGGACAGCTCCCCACAACAAAGAATTGTCTGATTCAAAAGGGTTGGGATTGAGAAACCCTGCTGTAGTGGGATGCTGCTGGTGACCCTGGTTATGCAGTAGAAAAGCATCTGTACAGTCACAGGCTGCCCATTGCAATGCAGACCATGAGCTGACTAAAGCCATAATGTTAGAGGAAGTGGCAGGAAAGACTCAGAATTTCGGTGTGTGCTCTTTACTTCTCACTGCTTTCAGCAAAGCCCTACAAGAGAATGGTGAAACAGAGACTGAAGAGAATACAGCTTTCCTAAGAGGGTATTATTTGCCTGGGGTTTTGTGAGAATCCCATAAATTGGATTCAAAGAATATGCATGGTAATGCATTTGAGGGATTTGACAGAGAGGGAAGAACATAATTTTAGACTGGACTGAATTATTATTCTAAGAGCACTTATCAGAGATTTTGGACTTGAGTGGACTGGAGTGGTAAATTGTTTGCTGGATTAGTTAACTAAAGACTTTTAATAGAAGATGGCTAGATTTTCATATCTGCTTCTGCATTCAGTGTGTTGGGATATAACAAATATGAAGATCTAATGATAGCATGAACTAAACAAAGCTGACATTCCAGAAAAAGCTTGAAGTAATGTAGACTGGAGGAAGGAATCCAAATACACAGGTGGAAGCCAGCTATAAGAAGTCCGTTATTCAGACAGTGCTTCCAGAAAATTTTAGTGGTTAGTATTTGCTATGAGTTTTGAAATTGGAGGACATCACAACAGAGTGGAATTGTTTGGAACAGAGGTGCATGATTAGGATTAATGAGATGAAACAAAACTCTGGCAAGAGGGCTAGAAAAGTCCTAAAAGAAAAGGTACATTAAAACTTTGGAGGAAGTTCCTTCTAGGGAAGAGTTGTAGCATTTATCGTAGTCCAAGATGCAAAGAGCAAACACAAGCCAAATTCCAATACACAGCTGACCTTTTCACATTGAGAAGTTTCTACTAGAGCTTTACTCTCCAAACTTTATTGTGCATACCTATTAGTAAACTTGATGCCAATGACTGAAAAGCAAGCCCTTTCTAACTCTAAAAAGTACTTAAAGAGGTATCAGACTTTTCTTCATTGTTACCCTCCTCCCAGGCCCCATCAGTTTCTGGGCAGTGGAAAGAAGCCAGAAATGACAGGGGATTAGGATGACAGGGGAATAGGCCCAACACATTTCAGGCAAGCAACCCCTAGGGATAGCCTTGTTCCAGGCACTACTAGGAAAGGGAGAAGGAGGAAACAACACTCCTGCCCACCTCTAATTGGGGAAAACCAGCTTGAGCCTCCGGAATACCTCCTCTGAGGAAGAAGGAAACATCCACTCACTTAGGGAACTATGAATGCTTAATCTGTAGAAACACTAGTGTGTGGAATATTGGTGTTATTGGAGCACAACGTAATCTGCTAGATACTCTTAGAAAAGAACATATAGGCTTAGCCATGGAAGAGTTCCAAGGGCAAATGAAGGCATCCTGGAGGCCTCATATATGATGGGAATTTACAAATTCCCTGGAGTATCAGGGCTCAGCTTCTTCTTGGTTCACTTCCTATTGTCAATTAGCAATAAGGAATGTAAGTATCATCTATTCTGTAAAGTGGTGGAAAAACAGGATCATCAGGGGATGTTATGGTGGCTTATTAGCACACAGATTTTATACATCTAGAGATCACATCATTGTTAATTTCCTACAGCTTATAATAGGAAATAACCTGAAGTGAAATAATGAAAACCCCCCCGAAATGTGTATTTCTTGACATTTGATCACATTGTCTCCTCTCCCCAACACCTGTCTAAATCCTCCTTCAAGACTCAACTCAATGTTATTCCCTTGGAGGCTGCCTCTGATCCCTTTCAAAATCAATCCCACCCTTGGTTCTCTGAACTTCTCTTATGTTGGGTATCACATACTGCCTTGTGTTAGTCACCAGCATCTGCCTGCCCCTTGGCCTTGATGTTTCCAAGGTCCAGTCTTACTCCCCAAGAAACCAGTTTCTTGGTATGTGTCATTATGTTTGTATAGTGCTTAACAGGACATGTCAAGGCTCACAACTTACCTCACTTAATCCTCCCAATTCTGAGGCGTAAGCAGGCATGGACTTCTTCCATTTCACAGATAAAGAAACTTAAGACTCAGAATGGGTGAAAAATGCTCTGGGCATCACATACAGCGTAATAATAACTGACTGAATGCTCGGGCTATGCCAGGCCTTTTGTTACGTAGTGTCTGTATCTTATGCCTTTCAGTGCTCATAGTCCTGTGAGGCACGCCTAGGCGCGACGTTTTTCTGAAGAAAAAACAGTTTCAGAGGTGGGGTATCTTTCCCAAGGTCACCTGGAGGGGAAGGGGCAGAGCTGGGGCGCGTCAGTAGCCTGGACTTTGAATGGTCTGAGAGGCGCATGTGTGCAGGCTGAGGCCTCAGGTGAGGCCCCGCCCCCACTCCCGTCGCAGGTGGCCCGGCCCGGTCCAGGGGACCGCAGAAGCGGCGCCCAGGGTCCCGCCAGCTTTCTTGGATTTGGGGGCGCGCGCGCCCACCTTCGCGACAGAGACTTCCGGGATCCTGGAGGGGCCGGAAGTCGGGCTTCTGTCGCTTCCGGCTCGGCCATTGTTGTCGCTTCTGCCGGCCGCGGAGGTGTACCGCGCCAAAGGGTCGCCGCCGCGGCGCCCCGGTGCCCCGTGGAGGCGACTAGGGGCGGGAAGGGAGGCGCTGCCGGGGCTGGGGTCGCTAGGCTGGAGCCGCAGCCGCCCGCAGCCCAGGTCGGCGACGCCAGGCGAGCCCACGCTTCGCCCCCGCGGCCGGCGGCGCGGTCCCTCTGTCGCACAGAAGCCGCGAAATATAGAGCCGCCTCTTTGTCCCAACCCCCTGGCCAGCCGTGCCTGGCACGGAGCCGGGCACCTGCGGGTACAGCGATGAACAGGGCAGACGTAGCCAGGTGAGCGGCGCCGCAGAAGCCTGGTTTAACGCGAACCGTAGATAGATGCTGTCCCAGCCTTGCGTGCCGGCGGAGACAATGCGGAGCGTCAGAAGTGGGTCAGACAGTTTCGGAGTTTCAAACGTGACGCGTGACTTGGAGACGCCAGAATCTAGATGAGATAAGCTGCTGAGCGTTCGGAACAGAAAAGGAAGTAGTAAAATGACCAGAACTTTTCTACATGGGTGGGATCTTAGAGCCGATTATTTTTAAGTACATCTTTGTGTTTTTAAAAAAGTTGAAGCCTGGAGACAAGTAGCTTACCCAGGGTACCGAGATGCATGGTGAGTTGGCACCGTAACGTAGATGCCCCAGTTACTAGTAAGATGCTGATTTTCAAACAGTTTTACAATACATAAACTGGATAAAAGTTTTCCCCCCACTTCAGTATCAGGTAAATGAATCACATTCGTTTGTTTACCATATATGTGCTTCTGCGTGCTGTGTACACACACATATGTACAAAAATGACTGGGAACCAGGCCCTGCCCTTTGAGTCCTCTGAGAAAGTCGGGGAGACAGCCGTGTAAACCACGAACACAGTGTGACAAGTGATCTAGCAGAGGTTTGAATGAAAAAGGTACTGTGGGCTCACTGAGGCAATAACCACGCTTAAGCCTGGAGAGACCAGGAAGACTTTCTAGGGGTGGTGGGTTGAGTAGAAAAAGATCTGGCATTTTCTGACTCCATCGGGTTCCTTTCCTTGGGTGGCAGTCCAGTAGTTTGGAGGGTGTGAGTGTTGAGTTGTACATAAACTAGTTAAAATACAGTGTTATAGTGAGAGATGCAGAGAGGGAGAGTACCAGCTCTCTTCCAGCATGGGGGAATCAGGAAAGCCTTCAAGAGGAAATGGCATTTGTTCTGGGTCTTGACCGATGAGTAGTAGGAGTTTGTCCAAAGTTGAAAGGAACAAAAAAATCCAAACAAGGAAAGAGTACATGTGGATTTTAGCTGTATCTCCGAAGCTTTAGTCCCAAACTTACTTTCTTGTGCATCTCTATCATAATAGAGAGGAGTGGAAGAGTTTTGAGCATGCACTTCCAACATACGTTTATATGTAAATTAAAGATATGTACTATTTTACAAACTTCAAAGCACATTATAAAACATACACTAAATAGGAGTTACAAAACAACTTAGCGTTTTCTTAGCAACCTTTGGGTTGTCTTGCATATCCCACATTTGGAGATCATTGCTGTCTTTCTAGCCTGGGTACCTGGGGAGAGTGATAGGGGGTGTGGCTAGAACAGAGGCCTGAGGACAGATTGTGAAGGGCTATGAAGGCTAGGCATAGACATTCAGGTTTTATCCTGTAGGTGATGGGAGCCACTGAAAGTTTAAGAAGGGAAGTCACTTGGAGAAATGCTTAGAGAGAGTGCCCTGGTTGTGCTCTTTTTTTCAGGAGCTTTGCTTTTTAACTCTCAAGGTGGGGGGAGTCTGTCATCAGCCTGGGGCTGAACACTCTGGAAACTTTGATTTCTCTCTTGATATTTCTGTAGGTGATACTGCCATCCTCCCACACCCCCAACTCTGAAAAAGAGTTCCTGAAATCTGAATTACAGACCATCATTTTAATTGTACAAACTGCAGCTGAAACAAGCTTCTCTTTGGGGTCACAATGGCCACCCAAGGCAGGGGAACTTTGGGCCTCATCCCCAGGAGTGCTGTTCTCCAGAAGCAGGAGGGGCGCCTGACTGTGAAGCAGGAGCCAGGAAGCCAGACCTGGAGGCAGGGCTGCAGTCTCCAAAAGAACCACCCTCCTGTCTGTGAAATTTTCCGGCTGCACTTCAGGCAGTTATGTTACCACGAGATGTCTGGGCCACAGGAGGCTCTGAGCCGCCTCCGGGAGCTCTGCCGCTGGTGGCTGATGCCGGAGGTGCACACCAAGGAACAGATCCTGGAGCTGCTGGTGCTGGAGCAGTTTCTAAGCATCCTGCCAGGGGAGCTCCGGACCTGGGTGCAGCTGCATCACCCCGAAAGTGGTGAGGAGGCTGTGGCTGTGGTGGAGGATTTCCAGAGACACCTCAGTGGACCAGGAGAGGTGAGCAGTTGAGGCTAGAATGGCATCTGGAACCATTCTCTAGTGCTTGGGTTAGCCTGGGAATAGGCATTGTCCATTCCCTAGGCTGTAGGCTAGTTTGCCCTTAGGATTCTTGAGGCAGTTCCTTGGATAGAGGGGAAATAGTTTTATCCTCCAAGCCATAAACAAAAATGCAAATACCAGCCAAGCTCTCTGAATCATTTTGTGAAATACTGTCTTATGAGCCTAGCTTCAGCCTGGAGATTTACATAGCACTCCAGGCAAGCAGAGGATCTGCACGCTGGTTAGAATGGGGGAGTGTTGGGAGGAGTGGTAGACTTTTGGGTATGCTGATAATATGGGCCTTCATTGGAGACATTCTCATTACTCACTTCCTCGGACTTCTCAGAGTCAATTCTCTTCCTGCCTTTTAGGTTCCTTGAGAGGTGACTGTTCTGGCTCTCATAATCATTTCTTCCCTTTCTAGCTTTCCAAACCCAACTGAAGCCTTTTTACCTCTTTAATTCTGATTTAGATTTTCCCTATTTCCTGGGGTTCTGTCAAATTTAAAGCTAAGATAATGCAAATTAGAGAAAAAAATTGGAGAATCAGCAGTGTGATAACAGTGGGAAATCTGGCTTCTAGGACCACAGGGCTGATTAGTTTGGTGACTGTGTATTAGCCAGAGAAGAAAAACCAGGAGGAAATTGTATATATTATATATTTATATTATTGCTAGAAAATGACTTAGGTGATTGTGGGAGCTGGCAAGGCAAGTCTGAACTCTGTAGGGCAGGTTGTCAGGAAGGGCAGGCTGGAACTCTCACACAGGCTGAAGCTACTGTCGTAGGCAGAGTTGCTGTTTAATGGTACTTTCAGCTGTGATTTTAAGGCCTTGCAACTGATTGAATCAGGCCTATCCAGATTATCTGGGATAATCTCCTTTGCTGAAAGTAAACTGATTATGGATTTTAATCACATCTACAAAGTACTTTCACAGCAGCACCTAGATTAGTGCTAAATTGACACATCAAAAGACCATCACACTATGGATAAGTCAGTTCTTCCTGGTGAGTTTCAAATTGCTCCCTTGTGACTGAGCAGAGTGGGTTAGGGTCCCCTCTACTTTTACTCCTTTGTGCTTTACCAGGGAAAGCCAGTATATGAAATTTCTCAAGTACCCAGCATATCATTTTATTCAGTGCTTTTAAAAAAATGTTTACATATCTATGCCTAGGGAATCAATTCCAGTTGATTGGAGTCCTAAGGCTAGACTTTTTTCCAGGAGTACTAGCCAGTGCCCACTTGGCATCATTAAACCCATTGCCAACCATTATTTCCTTGTATAACACACAGTAATAAACACACAGGAATATATCAACCAACATCAGGGTCTAGAGAGCAACTAGGCCCAAGCAGCTAAAGAAGTGTTTACAGTGCCATTTAGTGAGGGGGGTGGAAGGAGGATTTCCCGCCTTCTTTTGCTTAAGCAGAAGAGAATGCTCCCTCCATTAAAACTCAGTCTTTTATCCAGGGAGCCTCAGAAAAGGGTGGCTGAGTCACAAACCCACGAGAGTGACTGATAGTTAACAGTCAGGGCAGCTGAACAGTCACAGCTCCAGCCTAGGAGTGGGGTCTTTGGACTCCATTTCTGACTCTGCCACTATTATCAGCTTAAGTTTTTTGACATGAATACATGAGAACAGGACTGTCTCTCCTAGCACAGACTCAGAAAATGTGTTTATGGCTAAATGAATAAACAAGCTTTTACATGGCAGTTTGCCAGGAGGAGATTAAGGACTGTCAGGACAGATCGGAGTCATCCTGCTCAGCAGGAGTGAGCATGTGCATGGGTGCACATTGGGGCTGGGGAGGGTTGTAGGGTAATCCCTGCTGGGCTGCAGAATTGTGCAACTTACAAAGTGTGTTCATATCCTGTATCTTATTTCAGCTCCTAGCAGGCTTACAAAATACACAATTAGTAATCATTACTTCCATTTGACAAATGATGTGAGCACAGAACGGTTAATTGAGTCATCTAAGGTAACAGGGCAAGTAAGTGTTCCCTTTGTCCATGAGCTTTAGCCAAAGTGGTTGTTGCCAACTACCATTAAGTGTGGGAACCAGGATTTTCCATCTCCCTAGGTTCTAAGCCACTAGCTTCTCCCTAGTGTCTTGCTGCGGAATGCCACCTTAAAATGAAAATTGAAATGGGGTTTTTATGCCTGCAAGGAAAGGAAACTATGAGTCCTAGATAATGAACAGGAACTGTATCAGGATGTAATTGTTGGTAAATTACAAAGTTGTGACATCACAGTGCAGTTAAGTTCTGTCTTCTGACAGTACCCACAGCTGCTGTATTTAAGAGCTGTAACTCCAGTGGAGTTACAAGAACCATCCAGTGGAAAGCCTGGGAACCACAGACCCCAGGGAGCCTCCTCGTTCTACCACTGTGCTGGAGAGATATACACAGACTGAACAGGGCAAATCCAGCATGGTTTATTAAAGGAGAAGTTATTTTTACCTTATGCTGTACTATGTATATGCCAGAGTAGGTGAGCTTATAAATGTGATTTATTTAGATAATGTTTTAGGTTATCTGCTCCAAGTGCTGATAAAAATAGTAACCATGAGATTGTGAGAAGCTGGTTTAATGACAACAAGCAAGGGTTAGAAATAAAACGTCTTTGCTCTGAGATATTCTCAAGTTCTCTAAAGAGTGGTGTTATATGATCTTATTTGACTTTTTAATATAAATTTTGGGGAGAGATAGTACATATTGAAAACTGAGTTGCAGGTAACCCTAAAAACTCAGAAAAATATCAAGAGGAAGTAGGTCAGCCAATATTAATTGAACACCAGCGTTGGGCGAAGCATTGTTCTAGGAGCTGGTGATCAAGGTAGAGTTCTTACTCTCAAGCTTATATTTCATTGGGGAAGAAATAGACAATAAAGGTATAAATAAGATAAAGATTAATACATGCTATCGAAAGTATAGTCAGGTAATTTGAGAGAGAGTGACTGTCCTTGCTTCATCAGTGTGCCCAGGGATGGCTTATCTGAAGAGGAGACACTTTTGCTGAGAGAAATTGGAAAAGCTCTCTTGAGGTTTGTCAGCCACTGTTCTGGGCTGTTGCTTCAGCTGTCAGCCTCCGTAGTGTTATTTGTGCACATACAGGTACACACACCCATAGTTTTTTGTTTCTTTGGTACTTCTGATTGGGCTCTTTTGTAGGCTAAGGCCCTAGGGAGTATACTGAATTGCTGTCCTGGCTCCTTTTTCTAGATGGTTCTTCATAAACCAATTTCTGTCTGAAGAACTGACACAGTGTGGAAGTGGTTATGTAATTTAGTCTTCAAGCTCCTACCAAGAGGGACAGCAGGGGAATGACAAGTAGCATTGCAAGCTGTAGATCTGCTTTGACAGTTTTTCCCCCTGTAGGCTGTACTGGTGGGTGTGGAAGGACACTCTGGCTCTTCTTTTCCCTGGCTTTCTTTCTGGGGGCTGTTTCTTAGAGGTTTTGGGTACTCTTTTGAACCCAATTGTATTTTCTTGTCTCTAGGTTTCAGCGGTTTGGGGTACTCTTTTGAACCCAATTGTATTTTCTTGTCTCTAGGTTTCAGCGGTTTGGGGTACTCTTTTGAACCCAATTGTATTTTCTTGTCTCTAGGTTTCAGCTCCAGAACAGAAACAGGAAATGCATTTGGAGGAGGCAACAGTCCTGGGTGCAACAGAGGACTCTCCTACCTCATCCCTCAGTGAGGGTTCAGCCCCTGGAGCCCACCTGGAGCCTCCTCATGACCCAGGGGCCTGCCATCCCACCAGTGGACGCTCTGGTACTCACCTCTCCAGCTCTGGCCTCAAGTCATGCCTCCCTTCTCTCTTCCAGAGTCTCCTTTCTTTCATCTCCCACCCTATTGGAGTCCTTCATGGCACTGCCCTCTCTCTTTCTTCCCTAGTGACTTTGTGTGTTTGTTTTGCTTATTCTCTAATCGTTCATCTATTTAGCAAGTTTTTGTCAAGCACATGTCATGGGAAAGGCACTGTTGAGGACCAGAGAGAGATAGTACACTGTCACAGCTTTCAAAGAGCTTGTTATGTGGTTGGCAGAGAGTCAATCATATGCGCAAGAAGAGGCAACTTGATGAGATACATATGAGTGATATCTGTTCCCAAGCATTTGACACCATCACAAATGCGCAATATGGACATTATAAAGGGTGAGCAAGATCATTGTGGGCTGGAGTAGGTAGGGGTTGCTTCATGAAGCAGGTAGCAGTGGGATTGGACAGTGAAAAATGGGGGAGAAATTTGAAGGGAGAGAAAACTGGTAGGCCCCGGGGCAGAGGATATAAGTGAAGACTCATAAGTGGGAGCTCCTCGGACCCTGTTGAGGGGTCAGGGAAGACTGTATTTGGGAGCCTGGGGTCTGTTTGTAAGGGCCTTAGGGTGGAGACCAGGAAGATTTTGGGGGACAGATGATGATATGTGAGAAAGAGTATTTCAGGAGGATTACTCTGGCACATGCGAGCACTGTGGATTGAATGGGGAGACCGGTGGCTGGGAGCCTCAGTAGGAGGCCAGTGTGGGAGAACAGATGTGAGGCAATTATTGCCTGAGTGGGGTCAGTGGAATGGAAAGCAACAGATGTGACAGACATTGTGAAGGAAGAATCCATGGGACAATGGGGAGGAGAGGGAATTAGAGGGTTTTGGTCAATGTCTGAAGTCATTGAAGGAACTTGAGAAGTCAGGAAGGGAAGATGGCGAGAACATACCTTTTACACACTGAATTTAAGGTGTTGTGGGATCCCAAGTGAAATGTCCAATAGGCAACTGGAAGCTTGTGATAGCAATCTAGGAGAGAACTGAGAACTTAAGAGCAGTGTTAAAGCAATCAGAGTTGGTGAGATCTCTGATAGAGAGAAGGGAAACTCTGAGGCCTGAGTGCCTGGAGTGTCCGCAATGAGAGGGCAGGAGAAGGAAGAGAAACCAGGGAATGAGGGGCCAGAGTGTGAAGGGGAAATCAGGCTAGGCTGGTGCTAGGGGAGCCATGAGAGAGAAAGTAGTCAGAAGTATAGCTTCTAGTTTTAGTATATGTGCTGCCAAAGTGGGAGGAGGGGGGAGATTTGTAACGATGTATAGTGATGGATGTTAACTAGACTTTTTGTGGTGATCATTTCACAATATATACAAGTATCGAATCATTGTGTTGGTCACCTAAAACTAATATAGTCTTGTATGTCAATTATACCTCAATAAAAAAAAAGGGATGGCTTCCTTCAGAGAGGTTGAAGAGAGTGAGGGCTGGGGGGGCCAGTCCTCAGTATGACCTGGGTCCTTCTACCATACCCCCAGGAAAATTCACAGCACACGTAGGATAAAGCCTTTCTGGAAAGGGCATGAGACTCTGTGTGTGGAGTTGCCTGGGCTCTCTTGAGTCCACTGGGTGGGATACAGACCTTGGTGGAGCCAAGGGCATGGCTTGTCCCACTCATAGCTTTCTTTCCTCCCTCAGCTCAACAGGCTTCCCCGGTGCCTGCCCTTCCCCAAGCAGGGAACTTAGGAGACCAAGCAGCAGCAAGTGTGCTTCAGATGGTCGGGCCCCAGGTGAGCTTAGTCCTTTCCGTCTTTCCTGAGTTCCCCGGTCTGTGACCCTGGATAGCCAGAGCTCAGCTTCGGGGCTCTGGGCCATTCTGAGATGTTCCTGTGGCTTCCCTGCCTAATTGCTTCCCCTGGAGCTGGTCCCGCCTGCTGAGTTCACAGACTCTATCTTGCCCTGGTCTTGTCCTTTTAGATGCGTCATCCCAGCCTCTGTCCCTCTGCCCCCACTTTCCCCACCAGGACCCTCACCCGGTGCTCTCAGTAGCCTTCAGGCTGGGAATATCCTGAGCGATAGAAGCTTGTCGTTCCAGGGGTCTGCAGCGTACGAGTTCCTGTGCGTGGACTATACTCAGAAGAAGTGGAGAGGTCCAGCAGTCAGTCAGAGAGCCCTGTACCAGAAGGTCATGCCGGAAAATCACTGCAGCGCGGCCTCCCTGGGTAATGCTTCTGCTCCCCGGTAACTTAGAGTCTGCAGTCTTTGCATTTTCTTTGCTGTATTCTTTTTCTTTGTTAACTTTTATTGTGAAAAATGGCAAACAGACAAAGTAGAGAGAACAGTATCCTGAATCTTTCTGCACCATCACCCAGCTTTAACAGTTATCAGCATTCTCTTTCTTCATTATTAATTGACCCAGGGTGGTTTAGTTAGTTTGTAGTTGTAAGGAATAGAGAGCTACTCAAGTTATTGTAATTATGAGCTGTGTTACTTATAATAAGGCTAAAGAAATGGAAACCCTGAACAAATGGAACCCTGACCGCCTGGCCCAGAAACAGGGCCTTGTGGAGACTGAGCCTTGACCCAGGGCAGCTCAGCAGCCTCAGCAGCAACAGCTGATGACATTTAGGCTAGTGTTGCACCGGGAATGTGACGCAGCTGCTCCCTGCATATCTGTCTTCTTCTCCCACTGCTCCCCATTCTCTTCACTCTGAATCTTTTGCCCCTCACAGCTCCTTCTTAATGACATTCTCTGTTCCCTAATCCTTTCTGCTTGCTGTGGCTCCCAATGGTTTGGCTTCTCTTCATACATCATTTCAGCTTGAGCTCCTACTTGTAAAATTCCTTCATTTTGCCCTACTTCCAGTTCAGAAGTTACTTCAAGAGGGGCTCCAGGGTGGTTCAGCCATTAAATCTCATCTCTGTTTGGGCAGAACTTTGGCCCAGGCCACAGCAGAGGCTGATGACTAATCTACAGGAAAGCTACAGTTCGGTCTAGTGCTTGGCCCTGTCCAGTCACCTGTCATCCATCATGGGATGAGCTGGGTTGCTTGGCATAAAGTGTGGTTGCTTCAGCTTCCCCTTCAGGAAAGACGAGCAGGGCAGCTTCCTGGAAGGGGCTTGTTGTCAGGGCAGTTTCTGTGATTGACAGGTCCAGGACAGTAGCGTATTCTGGAGAGGGTGGGCTTAGGAGTCAGGGAACCACACATCCACAACTTGAACGTACTAAAGTAGTAGCATGATGTTTGTAGCCCTGATTAAGATGTGATTGAAAGCAACCAACATTTTGTGTTTAGCTATGACCTTGATTGCTCTATCTTTTCCAAGCTTTTATATTCAAAAATTCCAGAATTCAAAAGTAGATATTTAACTGTTAGTTTCCTTATGATTCCAGATTATCAAGATACTAAATTTTGATTTATGTTTGATATATATTTTGATTTATATTTCAAATTATTGATGGCTTTCTTAATTCTTGTAGGAATACTGTACTGGCTCCTATCAGTCCAGTGTCCCGGGGACTAAGGGATCCCCAGTTGTAGAGGTCTGCTCTCCCTTTCAATACTTTCCCCCCATGTTTCTTGACCGACCCCTGGCATCTCCAAATCTTGTCACTGACCTGTCATATCAGAATCATTCCTTTTTGTATATGTTTTCCTAATCATGTGTGCTCATGCTATTTCTCATATTTGGTTTGAGGTATTTGCCACCACACTTTCAACATCTTTGCTGAGAATTATGGAACCATACAATGTCTTGGTTGGAAAGGACCTTAGAGTTCATCATTTTACTGAGGAGGCTTAGCTTCTAAGAGACTTCTGGAAGATCACATCATGCTTTACAATCTCATCTCTTGCCTTTCAATTGCCCTGCTCACTTGGATGTGTTAGTTTAACATCTGTCTGTCCTGAGAGCTCTTCCTCCAACCTCCTCCAGTGACCATCTTCCCGCTTTTCGTCTTTCTCTCCATGAAGAAAAATATGAGCTATTTCCCGTTTTCTCTCCTTTCTCAATGTGTCACCTCATTCTTTACCTGTAAATGGAGTTTTTTCAGGTACATGGAATACTGATGATTCTATTTCCTCAATAGGACAAGAAATGAGTAAAAATTATTCTTTTCTTTATTCTGGCAGCAGGTGAGAATAGGATGGAAAGTTCCGAGTTACCTGCAAAGCATGAAATTTCTAAAGGTTCTGATTCATCAAATAGGATATCAGGAGGACTCTATGTGGTGGTTCCTGGAGGACCAGAAGCTGGAGATGCCTGTGAAGATGCTTTAGAGAAGCTGGAAGGGCAACCCTCAGATGAGGAAGGGAGCCAACTCAAAAGTGATTTCTTGGAAATAACACATGAGAATAAAACTAAATCTACCAAAGATGGATGTGATACATATAAGGAACTTGGGGCACATCCAAATCTGTCCTCCAGTCCTGCAGAACTTCAAGGAATTCTGAAAGGACAGAAATTCTATCGATGTGATGAATGTGGCAAAACTTTCAATCGGAGTTCACACCTCATTGGGCATCAGAGAATCCACACTGGAGAGAAACCCTATGAGTGTAACGAGTGTGGAAAGACATTCAGGCAGACCTCTCAGCTCATAGTTCATCTCAGAACCCACACGGGGGAAAAGCCCTATGAGTGCAGCGTGTGTGGAAAGACCTATCGACACAGCTCCCATCTCATTCAACACCAGAGACTCCATAATGGGGAGAAACCTTATAAATGTAATGAATGTGCGAAAGCCTTCACTCAGAGTTCCCAACTCATTGACCACCAGAGAACCCATACTGGAGAGAAACCATATGAATGCAATGAGTGTGGGGAGGCCTTCATTCGGAGTAAAAGTCTTGTCCGACATCAGGTACTTCACAGTGGTGAGAAACCCTACAAGTGTAATGAGTGTGGGAAAGCTTTCTGTTCTAATAGAAATCTCATTGACCATCAGAGAATCCACAGTGGGGAGAAGCCTTATGAGTGTAATCAATGTGGCAAGGCCTTCAGTCGGAGTAAATGTCTTATTCGACATCAGAGCCTCCACACTGGGGAAAAACCATACAAATGTAGCGACTGTGGGAAAGCTTTCAATCAGAACTCTCAACTTGTTGACCATGAGCGAATTCATACTGGAGAAAAACCTTTTGAATGTAATGAGTGTGGGAAAGCATTCAGTCTGAGTAAGTGTCTTATTCGACATCAGAGACTTCACACAGGTGAAAAGCCCTATAAATGCAATGAATGTGGAAAATCCTTCAATCAAAACTCACACCTCATTATACACCAGAGAATTCACACTGGTGAGAAACCTTATGAATGTACTGAGTGTGGGAAGGTCTTCAGTTATAGCTCTAGCCTTATGGTACATCAAAGAACCCATACTGGGGAGAAACCATATAAATGCAGTGATTGTGGGAAAGCCTTTAGTGACAGCTCGCAACTCATTGTGCACCAGAGAGTTCACACTGGAGAGAAACCCTATGAATGTATTGAGTGTGGGAAAGCCTTCAGTCAGCGTTCCACTTTCAATCACCACCAGCGAACTCACACTGGAGAGAAGCAGGCAGGTGGGGCTCAGTCAGTTTCTTAAGGCATAAATCTCCAAGACAGCAAGGAACTTTGAGTTAAGCTTTCTTTATAAGAAGGCTACTCACCCTGGTGTCCTCTTAGAACCACTAATTGAAGTGGGCATTTCCCAAATGCTTTCTGCTGGGTCATAAAGATAGGAGAGTGGCAGTAACAGTGCACTCCTTCCTCAGTAATGGGGAAGTGAGGACTACACATTTCATGTACTTGTAGGTTTCCTTCTTTCTTTTTTTTAACTGTTTAAAAATCTATTTCATGTCTTAGTTATATATCACATAATCAGACTGTGTGCTTCTCAAGAACAGAGATTGTATCTTACTTTTCCTGTTTCAGGTAATCCATTTTACCATTTACATCAAGCCATTCTCCAAGACTGTTATTAATTCTTTCCTTTCTGTTGGCTGTTCCCCTCCTTATCTACTTTTGAAACCTCTCTAATCTAGACCCTCATCACTTGTGTTCCTACCTAGAAAACCTTTTCTTCTTCACATTTGCTAATCTGTGTCCCTCAGAACCTTTGAGATCCAGTTCATCTCTCAAAGACTTTCTTCTTCAAATGCTTCTTCATTCCTTTTAAACTGCTATTTCTTTGACCTCAGTGCTTCAAATTAGCTGGTGCTACAATGTGCAATTGTTGTTAAATTGCCTTGCAAGTTATTCTCAACTTAATGCATATGTATATATGTTCATACCAACTTACTTAGGCTCTTTGATGTTGAATATGGTGTCTGTTTCTTTTGGCATATAGATAATTTTTGTATACTAGTTGTTTAATAAATAATTTTTTAAAACTCAGCTCTCCAACTGAACCATTCTTAAATTGGGCAAGATCTCCCCCCCACCCCCCCACTAAACTAGAAGCTTCTAAAGGTGGAAGTGGCATCTCATCATAGGATATCAGATATAAAGACCTCATTGGTGTCTTCTACATGTACTCTTGGAAGTCTCACTACTGTTACTTCATTGTTGGTTTCTGATAAATATTCTATTGTGTTTAGGAAGTTTCCTTCTATAGTTATTTTTAGAAGACAACATAGTATAGTAGTTAAGAGCACAATTTTGTGTCTAGCACTCTAGGTTCAGATCCTCACTCCACCACTTTCTTAGGTGTATGATCTTGGGCAAGTCACTTAGCTTCCTTGTGTCTCAGTTCTTCCCTCTATAAAATGGAGCTACCTCATAGGGCTGTGTGGATAAAATTAGTTAATTGTAAGGTACTTAAAACAGTGCTTGGCACATAGTACACATTATAGCAATTATTATACTTCAAGTTTTTTTAGGATGGTTGCTAAGTTCTGTCAACTTTAAAAAAAAAATTGGTGTAATTTTATGGGTCATGTCCTTTATTCTTTTTGTAATTCTTTGTGTGTGTATTTCTTTTTGTTTTTGTGAGTTTTTTGCTGAAGAAGATTAGCCCTGAGTTAACATCTGTGCTGGTCTTCCTCCACTTTACATATGGGTCACTGCCACAGTATGGCCAACAAGTGGTGTAGATCTGTGCCTGGGAACCAAACCCGGGCTGCCAAAGTGGAGCACACTGAACTTAACCACTAGGCCACAGGGCCAGCCCCTGTAATTCATTTTTTTGACAAGTTTCCAAATAATTGAAATTTCCTCGCACTCCTGGAGTAAAATCCATTTGTAGTGATTCTTTTTTTTTAAGTACAAAACTAGATTTAACTTACTAAATTTTTTGCTGGCTTTACAAAAAGTATTCAGAAAGTTTATTTTTCTTTTATTACTTTGGAAGAGTTTGCGTAATGTGGGAATCATTGTTTGAAGGCTAAAAATAACAACCTGATCCATTTTGGGGAGGAGGGACTTGGGAGGGACAAATCTTTAGCGACATTTTGATTTCTTCACGGGTTGTGGCCTTTAGGTTGTTACCGTAGTGTGAATTTTGGTAATATGTAGCTGAAAATCATCATTTTTACTGGATTGTCAAACAGTGGCATAAATTTGAACCTAGTATTCTATAACATGCTTTTACTCTCTTCTGTATATGTAGTTAGAGCTCCATTTTCATACATAATGTTTTACATTTTGTTTTCCTTTCATTTTTTCTGTCATGGTTGCTAAGTTTAATTTCTTTTGTTTCTCTTTGGAACTCCGTTTTTTCTTGAATATATATATTTTCATATGTCCTTTTACTACCTGAAGTTGCAGAGGCTTTTCATTGGCCCCACATTCGTCAATGATGAGGGCTTTCCAGTCCTGATATTTGCCCCAAAATAGGGAAAGTGAATTTCTCCTGAATCCTTTTATAGTGCATTTGGGTGCTGTTATAATTGTCTCTTTAGATGTGATGCTAGGTTAGTTGTAAAGTTACTTACTAATAGGCACTTCAGCAGAAATGAAGGAAAGGAGCAACTCAACATGTTTCTGATCTGGTTGAAAACCTTCTACCCAGAGCCTACTTTTTGTATCTAGCTTTCCTTTTGGCTCAGTCTTCATATTATGGATCCAGTGGAGCCTCCTTCCATGTTTTCTATCTATTGCAAATAGCTCAGTTATAAAAGAACTGAATGTGGAAAAACCTTCAGTCACAACTCAGACTTTATTTTACCTCAGTGGCTCCAAATTAGGAAAAGAACCTATTCTTAAGATAAGTGTGGGACAACATTCAGTTGTAGAAAACATCACCAGAGACTGCTTACAAGAAAACCCACTCATTTGTGTGTGGGAAAGCCTTGGTTATAGTTTATTTCTTGGTTGACATCAGAAAACCTACATGGGTTACAATGTGTTTGGATTCTTAGAGAGCAAGAAATCACTAATCCAGAGCTTCTATTTTGCACACATTTCTGAAACCTGAAATAAGTGTGGAAAAGCTTTCAGTTATAGCACATAGCTTCTGCTCCATCTGTGAATCCACAATGTAGAAGGAGCGTGTCAGTAAACAGTGTGACAGAACTCCCAATTTATTTTTAAAAATTGTACAGAATTTATACCCAGGAAATGGTTCAGCTGGTCAAATATGATGGTAAAGGTGCTAAGAGCTGGACTCTTACCTTCCTACCTCTTATACATACAAAGAAAATATCCCACAGCTGTAGTCTGCATCCCCAGTGCAGTCATTCAGCTTTTAAGTCCAGTAGGAAAAGTCCAGAGATTTGGGGTGCTGACAAGTTATTGAGTACTGTTACATGGCGGGAGACATTTCTGTCAAGGCATTTGCCTCTTGGAGTGCTACAAAAGATATATTCATGAAAACCTCTAGGTGTTAGGGACAAATTGTGAATAACCACAGGCTGGCATTTGCTCTATAGGAAATTAAAACAAATTCTCTATCCCTAACATTAAGACGTGTTCTAGCCTGATGGGGCCTTGTAGAAGTCCTTGCCCCAGCTGGATAAAGGGAAGGTGTTATGAGGTCAGCTGGCTCCAAGTATCTAATGGTGCAAGTATTTGATCCAGGATAGGACATTGTAGATTTATTCCTCCCTGAACCACAACAGCCTTCCCACTAATATCTGCACAGGGCCAAGGGCCTTGTACTTTACCCAGATGGATGCCAAGTAGGATGAATGCAGATTCCCTTTTAAGGCATGTGAATGCTTTACATGAAGACACAGTAGGAGAGAAATGTACGATGTCCCAGCACCTTTTCTGACCTGTGGGTATTCCTCAAGTGAATCTTGGGTAGGAATCACCAGCTAACTGAAAACGAAATGTTTTTCCAACTTAGGTGGCCCAGTCCATAGACTTAAAAGTTTCTAGGAATGAATGTACAGGTGGCATTTTATGATGATATCTAACAGGTTTCTACCCCAAGCCTCAGTTGCATTATCTTGCATATGGATGATACATTTATAAGATATTCAGTTTCCCAAATTGATGTCATATGGATTGTGGATGGAGATGCACAGGGCCAATAGCTACCCAAGATTTGGTACAATGAGATCATTGGACAGAGTAATCATAGGACAGTCTATGTTCCTGAATAACATTCAGGAAATGAATAAGACTGAATAAGGAGTGGCAACCACAGCTGCATGTTCAGGACCGTGGGGTGCATATGTACATGCCCAGCCATCAGATTGTATATGTTAATTATATACTTTGATTCCCATTTGGGTAAGATTGAAAAATGGTATATTCCCTCACGGAGACTGTGTTGCTCCCCGGTGGAGGGGGGCCAGAACAATTGAAATTATACCATACCTGTAGCAACCCTGGTAAGTCATACATCATGTCCTGATTTTAGCAAGAGGCCGCTGGTGAAACCTCTCTAGTCAGTATTCAGGCTGCTTTGGCAATGAGCAAAAACTGATGGCACTCAAGCTCTCACTGGGGAGCCACACCGCTGATGCCCCAAGGATTTGAGATGTGTGCAGCCTGTTAGAGGGGCCATTTATGGAGAAGGTGGTCATGGCAGCTGCTACACTGCTAAACGTAAATCCACTGACAACTGTATTCTCCAGTCTAAGCTGTGCATTTACTATGGCTATCCACTGTCAACATCTGTCCTAGTGAGGAGCACTGGAACAATGAGATAGTTGTCGTTATTCTTTAGAAGACTTTCAAAAGAGAACCATTTGAAGAACTCTAGACAGTTCACCTCTTCTCGGGGGTTCCCTGAGGTTTCCGTTGTGAGTGGATGTGTGGGATGCTTGAACTGTAGGATCAGGAACAGCTGGGCAATTCCCAACAATCTGCAAGGACAAGAGAAGTTGCATATCTGGTCTGGGGCCTCTGATTTGTCCATAGAAATATGCTAGAGTAAGAGTTATGAATAGCTTGTATTGGGACAGAGGTCAAGGTGTGCTCTACCTGCCCTCCCCCAAACATGAAGCTATAATGTCCTGGCCTGTAATTGATGCCAAGGGCAAAGTCATCCCCTGACACGCCACCTGCTCTGCATCTCCAGGTTCAGGAACACTGTTTTTCCTCTACGTGGGGGATTCGTGAGTTGGTCACTAGCAGACATGTTGCTCCTTAAGGAAGTCAGATGTGTTAGTCTGCTAGGGCTGCCATAACAAAGTGCCACAGACTAGATGGCTTAAACAACAGAAACTTATTTTCTCACAGTTCTGGAGCTAAAAGTTCAAGATTAAGGTATCAGCAGGGTTAAGTTCTTCTCAAGCCTCTCTTCTTAGCTTGTAAGTGGGCATCTTCTCCTTCTATCTTCACATAGTCTTTCCTCTGTGTTAGTGTGTGCCCTAATTTCCTCTTCTTATAAAGACACCAGTCTCTGATAGTTTAGGGCTCCGGATTTGGTCTGCTTCCCAGGAGCTAGGCATGGCTGCCCTTCCCCCAGCAAGCCACCCAGGTCGTCTTCGGTACAAATTGTTTCCCCTCCACCCCACCCTGCTTCCAGCCCCCTTCTTTTCTGCCTCAAAAACTACTTTTTCTCGTCCACTCTCACCTTTGGACCCCTGGACTCAAAGCATAGGTGCGTCTTTCTCCTCGCAGATCTTTGGCACCATTCCTGGGTCTGGAAAAGAAACTGAAAAAGCCCAGGGCAGAGGTTTACATAACCCAATGCGGGGGCTTGACTGGGCGGCCCCTGGGCTCATTTTCAAGCGGGCTGGACCAGAGTTTACAGGGGTGATTGACACCCGCCCCGTCCCCAACCCTGGCGTGAAGGAAATAAAAGTTGCTCATTGTTATAAAAGCAGAAAAATAAATAAATAAATAAAGTAAAAATAAAGACACCAATCTTGTTGGATTGAGACCCACTCTAATGACCTCATTTAAAGTATTACCTCCTTAAAGGCTTTATCTCTAAATACAGCCACATTGTGAGGTCCTGGTGTTTAGACTTCAACATATGAATTTGCAGGGGACACAAT